GTTAGAGGACCACTGAGCAGAGAAAATACTGAGAGTTTTAAGGCACTAAAAAGCTATTATCTGAAATAAAAAATAAACAGCCATTTCAATGATCTCTTACTATATATCAGGAAGATTTCTATGATGAATCAGAGTTCACAAAAATTTATACACTGCTCAACTTCAACATATATAGAAAAGGAAGTGAACACAATTTCTTGGCCTTCACAAATGTAAATTTGGAACTTACTTTGTGTGAAAGATATTTGATTGTCCACACTGTTTGTCTTTAACAAATGCCTTTGAATCCAAGCCTGCTCCCATGGAAATCAACAGAAATTTCCCAATGACTCAAATGAAGATGACCTAGGTCTTCATTACATAAGTGTCTATAACAGATTGTTTCGTATTACCATTTGTTAATGTTTTGTCTGTGGACTTTTTGTAGTATTATATAATGCTGAATGCTTGGAACTGTCCTCCTTTTCTCTATAGGCACACAACAAATATTCAAAGGATGCAGGCGTCCTGAGAAAAGTGATTATTTCAATTTTAATGCTCTTTAAATTCTCTTTGAATTCTCTTTTTTTCTCCTCCAGATAACTCATGATTTCAATAATTTGTGTTTAAATGACATTAATCTTGATTCTCATGTGATTAATCAGTACTAGTTGAATGCTTTTCTAAAATCACCTCTTAGATCTACTTTTTAAATTTTCTCTCACTTCTGCAATACTGAGTCTGAGGATAAGCACATGCACAGTGATGCTTCTCAAAGTTCTTTCTTTGAATACCTTCTTTTATATAAATGAACTCAATTAAATTTTTATTAAACACCAAGTTCAATGTCACTACAGAAATGTGACCAAGCAACTTCAAAAAAAGTAAACGAACAATTCTCTAAAGCTCTTGCTGGCCAGAAAATTTTTAGCTAAATCAAGAATCAATCTAGGAATAATCTGAATAATACACATTTTCAGTAAATCACTCTGTACTGCTCTTCATGTTCTCAAAATTAAGATTTCTAGGAAAGTAAGGTTTACATTTTTAAATTGTTTTTATTTATAAATTTTAATCATAAACAAAATAGCAACAATTTTGTTGAAATTATCCTTATAACTTTTGCCAGCTAATTATTAGTCTGCCAATAAATAATCACTGAGGAGCTTAAAATTAATAAAACTTGATTTATGTGCTGTCCTTTGAGTATTTTGTGAGTTGTGTTCTTTGAACTGATATCCATGACTTAGAGTTTTAAAAGGTTAGCAACTGGCACATTAATCCAAGTAACGTACAGTTCATTCTACACTTCTTAACATCTGGGTGTCCTCTTGATGACTTCAGCCTTTCTAAGACTAACAAGTAAATTTGGGATTTATAGTTGAAAAACAGCATGGCTGCTTCTACTGCCAGTCTTCCTTCATGACTTTAATAATAGGAGGTGTAATAAACAATGTAGATTTATAACTGTGCATATTAATTATTGTTTCTGAGGTTTAAGTAATTAGAAAAGGTGACCACCGCTTCTTCTGATTGGGAATTTCCTCTGTTGGTGCCAGACAACTGCTGAGTTATTCAGCAAGCAGACAACTTTGCTCTTTTCATCAGTGATTCATGAAAGAGTGGACAGCTTGTGTGTTAAGGCAATCTGAGCCTCAGTCTAACAATCTGATTTGTTGGCTTAGTAGATTTACTGCATTTTGATTTTCGTGATAAATTCCATGTGAAACGCAATGCCAGCTGCCCTGACAACATCTTCATCAACAGGAAGAAGTTCCTACTGGTCCAGATGCAAAGAAAAAAACTTACATAAAACTGAGAATGTTATCGTGAAAAGTTCAAAGTTTGCACAAGTTTCAAATGAATCATTTTTTTAATACACAGCTAATGTAGAGTTACATACAGAAATGACATTTTGCTTTTGAACGATCTTTGATAATTTTAAACAAAGATATTAAACAATTGTATCTTATTAGGATAACATGTCCTATACAAGAGGAAACAGTAAATCTAGTTCCTAGATTGTTAGGCAGTCTAAAATCTGAATCCCTTGTCTACTTGCAGAAAGTTCATGCTTTCCTGTTGGGTGTTTCCATGGAATTAGATGATTAATCTTCCTACAGTTTATAAGGAATGGTTATGTGGTTAATTGCAAAGCTCTGTGATGTTTCAATAATCTTGCCTATGTGTCAGTGTACCCTTTGATGTGATCTACAATACATTGTACTCTCCCCCCAAAGAATACACAAATGTGGTACCATTTCAATTTCTTCTAAATTTCATTGGTAATCTAGAAACCATTCCTTAGAATCCAGGAGTTTTAAGAGTTGTGTTGCCTTCTAAAATGAACTAAGCGGAGAATACAGTGTCATTCTTTTGCAGATTTCATAGCAGCATCAATAGGATGGTGAGATAAACGTCTATTTATTCCTCTCTGGTTTGATACAGACACTGCAGACAGCCTTGAGGAGGATGCAGGTGAGTATTGGAAAGTTTGGTGTACAGCAGCATGTTCTAACAGTTTGAGGCAGATCATTACGTTGGTGGGTTTCCTTGGAGGTTTGATGATGATGTGCACTGAAACTTCTGTGAAGAAAATGCCTCAGAGCTCCTGAATCTAAAAGGACTCCTGAGGAGAAATAAGATATTGTGCATAGTTTTTTTGTTTTTTTTTTTTAATACCCTATGCCTCTCAGGCTGTCTGTCAGTTATTAATCTGTCTGATCTGCAGGCATTAATTTCAAGGCTTAAAGGGAGAAAACTGCACGGAACATAACAATGGTAACTTCTGTGTGGCATCCTAAACCTAGGAAGGGTTTTACTCCTCTTCTCAGGGTATTCTGAAATATAGCATTAACAAAGATAACAGCTATGGATAAGTGAATTCAAAGCAGCTAACTAAGGCTTATTCAAGCAGTTGCTTGGAGGTAAAGAATTTAGAACCACTAAACTGAGCTGGTTATTTCAGGTGAACCTGGTAAGGAAACAGCAGCTGGATCTCAGAGAATTAGGCCATGTTGCCACCTAGCAGGAAGCATGGGAATCTTGAAAACTACAAAATTTGAACAGATCTTAGGAAGTAAGTAAGGAAGCTAAAGTCACAGTTCTAAGTGTTAAGGTGGCCAATTAATATGCTTGGACACCCATACTTCTGCTCTGTATTGATTACGAACTCTGAAAATTCTTCACGCCTCCTAGGTCTAGCACGGATTCCACCCCTTTCAGAGCCCTGGGATACCTATCAGTAAGAATGAGGATATATAACAGTAAGAATGATAAGACTCTTGGGCTAAAGAGATTTGAAGATACTAGTAAGTACTGAGTATTCAGTTACTTCTCAGAGAAAAGGAAGTTTAAAGCACCATGTTATTTCACTCCTAAGCAGGGAAGACTTTCTTGGTGCTGGTTCTTTCTTACCACCTGCCCTCAGTATCAGTGATCTCTGGCAATATAAGGACACATTTATGAATGTTTTTTAGGAGTAAAAAGTATATCTAAACCACTAAGTACTGACAGGAAAGCACACTCCATCAAGGCATACCGCTGTCCCCAACAGATATATTGATTTAGCATGTTTACTCTGTATAGATTTTAAGCCATCATAGGACATACAGATCCTGAGTCTAAAGATATTAACTACATCACGACACAGCAAAAGCATCTTCACACCAAACAGATAGTCATTATTTTAACAGTAATTCAATGAATAATGTCAATGGAGAAAATAATTTGTAATAAAAAACCTTTACATTAATGAGAACTACTGTGAAACTAAAATTCCAGAAACAAGAACAGCACATTTTTTTTAATGAGGTGGTGTTCTAAGGCATGAATCAGACCCACAAAATTAAAGTTTACTGCCACAAAAGCAGCTTAGAGATCTTAGGGGCTGCGACATACTCTTGGATACTAAGGTTGCACATGACCTATGTATATCCTCTTGTTCTTCCATCCAAGAATATGTTGCAGCCCTAAGAAGCATAAATAAAACACACCAGGTCTGCTATAGAACGCATCGGTGTGACATGAATATAATATCAGGCAAATACCTGAGGAAAAACAGGTATATCCAATATTTCTTAAGGGATATATCAGGGTACATAACTCACTCTCAAAGTGAAAAGAAATGGGGATTATTTTCTGTCAAATGACATTATCTCATTTTGGATACTATTTACATTATGGGAGAATTTCTGGCAATAACCAAAATGAAAAATTGTTTGATTCATCTCGATTACTATCAAGGAGTCTTCCATTATGTAAACAATATACCTTATAGGTATTCAGGCATCTAAAGCTTCAAAACAGCTTTGAGAGCAGACAGCAACTGACTTTGCTGAATGCAAACCCTTCATATAAACCTCTTGATAGCTATTATTCTAAGAAGCACATTGCCTCTGTAATTGCCTGCACAGACTACAAAGTGCATGAGCACTGGAAAAGCCTGAGAAGTTGGGGGGGATAGGCAAATTTATTCACATCTTTTTGAATCAGTGCAAAAGCACTTGGGCTAGTCATAAAGATGTGCTTGTTATTCTAAACTGTTTCAAATGTCCTCTTAAAATAGTAATAAGAATGTAACTTGGGATTTAGATGGAGTTACACACATTAAAGTATTGCACAAAATTAGCTATATTCTCTATGTACTATGCAATTTGGACTGTGTTCAAAGTAAACCAGTCAAGGCTTGCTGAATCCAATACTTTTTGGCCATAACAGGGTACTTCTAAGCACCTGCTTTCCGTGAATAACTGAGCTTCTATTTGGGTGTCATATCTGCCCAGTTTCAAGTATTTGGTTTGAAACAGCAGAAGAATCAACTCAAAACAGAAAAAAAGTCATTTTGAGCCCCAAGAATTTTCTTGTAATAGCACACAAGACTGGGATGACAGTGTTGTAACATTTCACTAACAGCCTTCATGCTTTAGCAGAGCATAATGTAATAAAACATGATTTTCTTACATTTTCTGTATGTTTACATTATTTATACTTTTACATTTATTTACTTTAGATTATCTCTCTATATCAAATGCTTTTTTTTTTCCTGCCAGATGCTTAGAGGTTAAGAAGTTTTTCATTTCTTTTGCTTCCTCTCCTGAGAAAGAAATCTATCAGCTTGCTAGTTTGCTTAGTCCTCCCTGTGCAATAAAAAAAGTCACACACATGGAACGCCCCATTTTCTTTTCTTAGCTCTACTCCTGAGATGCTGTGAGCACATGCAACTGCTGTTAGCTTCCTTGGGTACTGCAGGTGTTCAGCACCTCTAAGGATTGAACCTACTGAAATTAAACAAATGTGAGAAGCTCAAACTGGATCCATGGACCTAACAAGGATTGCGAGTCCTGAAGCAGAAAGCAGTGAACTTAACGCTACCAAAAAATATTTCTTCCAAGTGAACAACACATCAAGAAAGATGTGGCACATTAGAAAGATACCTTACCTTCTTTTCTTGAATAGCCCAGTTCAAAAGCTCTCATTACATTTTGCAGACTGAAACTGACTAAAATTTGTTTCTACTCAGATATGAATCTCAGTCTAATTTCCATGATTATCATTGTCCACTACAGTCCCACTATACAAATAATACTAACATGTTTTCCATTAGGGGTTAATACAAAACCATTCGTTAAGTACTCGTTAATACAAAACCTAGCATTAGAAAAGCCCTAGGTTCTTCTAGGTTGTTGCATAAGAAAGCTGGTCCTGATACCTCGGAGAACAGGAAAGTACCAACATCCCATTCAGTTTAACCACCTCTTGTCTACAGTATAGGTTAATTTTCTTTTTAAACTGTGCAGAATCTGAATCCAGAAAAGACAAAGGCAAGGCTAGTCTGAGACAGCTGATCCCAGCCACTGGTAACAATCGAGAAGGTATGCAGAACAATGATCTTGCAATTAAAAGAAGAAATTATCAAGAGAAGGAACACTGATACGTAAGTATAATGAACAAGAAACATTAAAGCTATTTTAAAACACTAATCATATCATATGGGTCATAACTTTTATGATAAAATCAGATCTTAAACTTTATTTAATAACTGACATAAGGAAGCAGTGGTATTTATAAAGGAGCTACAGCTCACTATTTATAATTTCTCATGATTCACAGAGGCATTACGTTTTTACTTCTGCAGATATAAACCAAACAGTTACCAAATGCACCAGTGTACTTGAGGAATCACTTAAAAATAACAGAATAAAAGTGAGGAAATAGCAGTATCAGTTCAGAGACTTCAACCTATCTGCAGTTTGCTTCCACTTAAAAACATGACTGTTTCTTCAGAGCAATAACTGCATAGCATCTGGGGGATTTCACCGGATCAAACAACTTCACAAGTCCAGACCAAGCAATGTTGTCCTGTAAAATGATATATGATTGAAATACATAAAAATGTGTTTGGCTTAAAAGTTAGGATATGGTAATATGCCCATACTTTCAAATATGCAAATTGCAAACCAAAAATATTATTCTTAATGTTAAGGAGGAAAAACACTTATCTAATAACAAAATTACTGGAAGCTTGTTGTGAACAAGCAATACCCAAAACACTATATATTTTAAAGTCATTAAATTAGTTTTGGTACTATCAAGTGACAGCTTACCACCCCCCTCATCAATAAAGCTTTTTTTCAGCAAAGTAGAAGCAAAGAAATCAAGTATCAAGTCCTACTCATTTCATGCAGCATACAACTACTGAAGCTAATTAACTGACTTTTCAAGTGAATCAGGCCAGCTGGATTTGGTCCCCATGTTGCATATGGCTTTTATCATTTCTGTTTTTCCTTCCTAAACATATTTTGTGAATCAACCAGTACAAGATTAAATCTGTGGGTATATTACATTTAGAAAAGGTAAATTAGTGCTAAATGCAGCAAGTCTGATCTTCCCTCTTGGAAATCGTACAAATCTTTATGTCATTTATAGCTGGTTGGCATTTGGGAAAATACATCATTATTTAAATATTTCAGATTGCCTTTCTGTAAAACACCAGTTAGAATAAAAGCATATATTTACTACATACAACTCATTTGTTCCAAGTGTGCTATGCTAGAGAATAAAGTGAATTTTTATTTATGATAAAATGGAGACATTAAAATGAAAGGTTTATAGTGGAAAAACAGAGCTGTTCACATGAATAGTTTTATAATTTAATTTAAAATTTCATTTTGACCATGGCCAGGAGCAAAAGCTACAAGACACTACCACTTCCTCTTAACAAATTATAACTTGTCAGAAAAATATTTAGTGATGCAGAGAAGGTATGATTGTTGCTTCTGAGTTAATCAGGCCAAGCTCAAAAGTAGTGTTAGCAGAAACACTGTAATATATAAATCATTACAGAGTAAACGCAGTAGCAGTTGCTTATTATATCCCAGGTCTCTACTTGCAAAATATATCCAGACTGTATGTTAGTCAAATGTACCTCAGTCGACCCATACAGTTGGCAAAAGTGCACCCTCTCTCATCATAGATCTTAATTAAGAAACAATAAAAAGAATTCATGAGCAGTTTGGACCTAATTCAAAATTTCGTGAAGTACACATTCTGAAACATATTATTTGGAAGCTCTAGCATGCACAGCATAATGTTTGTTTAGAATTTCCAATATTCCTTTAAATTATTAAATATCTCAATATGTTGTATAAATTGAGATTTTCTTGCATATTTAATTTATTTTTTTACTGTCTATTGAGCAGTAATTACCGTACAATTAAAAGAACATAAACTTTACTGTTGCTGCTACATTGAAAATAAAAACATCTGCTGGGCATATGTTTATACTAAAATGAATGAATACTTACACTTCTGTAAATATGATGAGAATAATAATTCTGCAACAGAGACTTTTGGGTCTGTACAGTAATAAATTGGCTGAAATAGCCTCATTTCACTGATGTAGCCTTTGGGTATCATAAAATATAATGCAAAAATACCTGCTCCTTGAGGTAGCAAAGACGATCCAGAAGTATCAAAACTTCTATGCAGGGAGCCAGAACAACCTTCAGCTGAAAGATTAGATGCTATTATGACTTTAGGAAAAGAGCCAACAGACTTCCAAATGGCTACATTTCCACAAAAGAATTCCAAGAAGGTCAATCATTTTCTAGTGGATTTGTTGTGCAAATGTCACCTTGCCAATTTTCCCTGTGGGATGGACATCTTCAAAACAGATTATATTAAAGATCAAAAATATATGGAATGTCATAAAGCTAGAAAACTATGTTATTTAGTTGGCTTTGAGGCACTATCCAACAAGAAAATGATATTATATGAAGCAGAACAATTTTAAAGAGGGAAATAATGAATTTTAATAAAATGGATTTTTATGAAATAACTGCATGGAGACCAGTCTAGATTTAAAAGGGGACTAACATTTCATTTTTCAGGGTAATAGTCCCTCTTGAAAAAGAATCTTCCATGTGTTCTCTTTATTATTTTACTAACACCTAATATAGTTTTGGAATAGGATATGCTCCAAAGTTTGGAGGGGGGAGCAGCTTTGTTTTTGAGACTGCATACCACAGTGTAAGACAGTCCACCTCCACATAAAACTTAACAGGGCTTTGTTCTAGACTAGCACATATGTACAAGGCAATGGTATTAATCCTATGATTTTTACCATATTAAATGCTTCGAGCTCATTCATTCTGTGCTTGTATTTTTCATAGTAATCCATTATACAGCTGTCTGGGAGCTGCAAGGGATAAAAAAAAGATATCAGAGTTGTTCTAGTTACTTTTTCAAGGCAATTTTAAAATGAATTTTTTTTTACTAATTGAAAGTCACACTACAAAATGAAATCTGTCTACTGTTTTTGCAATTAGCACTTTCCTAAGGTTTACAATAATTTTCCTATAACAATTTTTCAGTTCTCATTTACATTACCTTTTCTTCAGACAGCATTTTACACTGACATGACATATTGAAATATATTCATCGTTCAGAAAGCTCTAACCATTCTTAAGTGAGTATTACACACTAAAGTAGAGATAACATTCTCATTTCCTGTCCCACACATCTTAACATACCCCCTCTTCCCCAAAGCCCAAGAGATTTCCTCTAAATAGTTGACGAGTGGAGTCTCATGTCAGAGTAACATGCTTAAGTCCAGACTCCTAGATGGCATTTCACATTGCAAAACCTGCTGTCAGATTCTAGAAATAATACTTAGTTTCTCTGTGTCTCAAGTTACCCACCTTTGAAATAAAACTTTGCCTACTGACCTTGCACCACTACATGTTCCCCTCTTCCAAATTATATGATGCAATGTTGCCACCACTGCCACTGTAACTGCAAACACTGTGATTCTGGGCCGAATTTGATGCAAAGGCAGTTCAATAATTTGACTAAACCAAATGCACCTTCCCTTTTCAGCTCTTAGAGGCCACTGTGCCATAACAGGCAGCCAGAGTTACGATCACCAGTGTTGTTCACACAGCATGTTCTCCACAGGGCAGCAGAGTCAAAACATGTTTCAGTTCTTAAAAGCTGAGATGTCTTTACCCTTCTGCTGTCTGCAGTTCTGGATGTTAAAGATGGCAGTTAAGCAGGCCATCAAAGGAATCTGTCAGAGGAGTGGAAGGTGGCTTTGCAATATTACGGGTGATGGAGGCTGCTGGAAAGAGCTGAAAGAACCTGATTCACTTTTTCAGAATTTAGCATTTCAAGTATGGCTCCCCTATGGTGACTGGAGAGAGCTAGCCTACAACTCAGCAAAAAAATAATGTTACTGCCAAAACACTAGGCAGGCTAAAGTGTTTAACACATTTTTTGCACATCTATTAGAAAGGTCGTCTGAGAGCACGTGCCTAATCCAATCACAAGTAAAACCAAAGCCTAAGATTGGGAAGCAGACTAGAGAATACTTGCATAAATTATATGTTTTCAAATCAGATAGGTATTATAGCCAAGAACAAAATGAAGTAACCTTCAGAACTAATTGTCATTAGGAACTTCTGAAGAGCAGTATATTACTAGTAGGTGCATGCCTAACTTATGAAGTGTAATGAGAAAGGAGCTGGTTCATTATAGACCAGTCAGTTCAAATTCAATGCATTGAAAAGAACCAGACAATTACTCAAAGAATTTAAAAACACTGAAAGATAAGCAGATGAGTAATAGTCAACAGTGTGTCAAGAACAAATCACACCAAGTCAATTCAGTTTGGTTGTAAGAAGGGAAAAAGGACTCATGATTGGGAAAAACAAAATGTTGTCATATATTTTGACTTCAGTAAGATTTTTGACACCGTTTCACATATCAATTTCATAAGCAAATTTAGGAAACAAGGTTCCGGTGAAAGTATTATAAAGTGAGTGAAAACTGTTTGAATAATTATAACCAAAGAGTAGCTATTAATGAGTCCTTCAATAACTGAAAAGACATACTGTGTGGAGTTCTACTACAAAATTCATTGTTTTCTTTAAGGACGATCTAATAAAACAGAAACCACATTAACTATGCCTACAAATGTTTAACAAGATGACACTGCTAGAACTTAGAATAATATTCTGAAATTGGAGAATTGCTTGGGAAAAAACTTTGAAATGCTATAGGAAAAAGCAGGAGGGACTATACTTGCACAGAAATAATCATCTGTTCAGAATGGGGAACACCAAATGACAATCTGGGAGATATAACAGATCACAAGCTGAGTGAGAGTCAAAGTTGTGCTAACGCAAAAAAAGCAATCATCGTACTACTATATGTATGGGAGAACAGCCTGCAAAGCACAGGAAGTAATCCTTCAACTCTGCTTGGCAGCAGTAATGCTCTAGCTGGAATATTGTATCCATTTTTGGGCATCAGATTTCAAAGAAAGAAATAAACTAGCTGAAAAAGCCCTGAGAGAGTGAAGAGAATGGTCAGACATCTAGAAAACATGACCAATCAAGAAAGACTGAGAGAACTGGAACTGAACAGGCTAAAGAGAAAACTGAGAGTAGGTATAACAACAGTATTTCAAAGGCTGCCACAAAGAGGCAGGGAACAGTTTGTTCTCCATGTCTGCAGTGGACAAGATAAGAATAGGCTTATGTCACAGCAAAAAAAAAAATTCCAGTCACAGATCTCAAGAAATTTCCTCTTTGTGAGGTTAATTAAAGTCTGGGGGTTGTGGGTCTTGATCAAAGGAAGCTTTAAGAAATTTAGACAAATATTTTTCAGGAATGACCCAAAATTCTAATTTTGCCTTAAAACAAGGGGCTGGGTTAGAGTTTTTGTGGTCTGTCAGCCATATTTTTTTAATCTGGAAAGTACTTCTTTTCCTACTATGAAAGCTTCCACACGTGATCTGACAGTATTAATGTACTGACTCATTTGGTCCTGTTGCCACTTTATTTTCATTAAAGCTGTGCAAATATCTGAGCAGGTTTTTTCTCTTCCTCTCCAAAAAGCCAAACCTGCTAAAATATATTAATCATGAGACAAAAAAATACTTTATTTGACCTCTGCTCTATGAGCTTTTCATTTCTACTCAGAATTAAAAGGGTTTTAGTATAACAGAGTTTTGATATTACAGGTTATTTGGAATTAAAACATAAAGATCTTTATTTGTGAAGATATGAACATAAAACCTTTCTGCTTTTTCGTCCTTTGTGTTCTCCCTTTTTCAGCATGAAGCATTCAATTAAAACAAAACAAACTGTGAAATGTTTCACAAATAAAAAGCTGGGTCAAAAAATGTCTCCTGGATGTTGCCATACTCAAGTACTGGGCCCAGATGCTTTACTTCTCCCTTCTTGCTTAACACGCTGTAAATGCATCTTGCTAGTGTGGATAGATTAGGTAATGCTCCAAATTGTACTTCAATTACAAGTTTGGTGGGTGACCCAATTCAATACAACCGGTCAACTGAAAAAGAGAGACCATGTCCATAGAAGAGCTTTTTTTAGAAAAGGGCATGAAAAGGGTAACTGATAACTAGGTATATGGCCAATTTATTGGAAGAAGACCAACACCTAGATTGGACTGGGTTTGTCTGAAACTGGGACAGTCTGCCACCTCGCTCCAATTCTTAAAAGGCACACAACACAATCTTCAGTTACCCTTCCAAGTGAAATAGGAGTAAATTATCGCTTGTAATTTTCAGGAATAGAGTTGGACCTATGTGTGCAAAGCAAACCTCATGTAGCTGTTGGAGCTGTGCATACAACTGTTCTCTATGCAGTGTTACATATTTGCATATATAAAAAATGTTTAAATACATGCACAGAACTTTTTTCTTACATTATGTTGATACTATGATCTTATGACATGAGTGAAAATGCATGAAAGAACCTAAACACTTATAACACACACTTGTCTTACTAATCTGCACCCAAAGATTGCACTCTTGCTATTGATATTCAAGTAAGCTTCAGCATATACAAAGAGGTTTTGGCTAGTATTTCTTTGCAGCTTTAGCTACAATGTCTCCTGGGCTTTACTGGATTGTGAGCACAAACACCTCATCCCTCTGGACTGTGATGATGGTGTATGCTTTCCTTTAAGTCAATTTTGTTTTGGATTGGTTTGGTGGCTAAAATAGCCAAAACAACAAAGAGGAACCAGAAGGCAGCAAGGTCTCCACTGTCCTAGTTATAACTATACCATATGCTGAAGGTGGCACTAAAACTACACCACAGACCTTACTCACTTGTTACAAACACCAACAGAGCCTTGGGAAAAAATAAGATACTGCATGTCTGAGCACACCCAAGTTGGACTCAGTCACACAAACATGCTGCTTGAGTACAGGCTGAAAAGAAAACACAGAGGCAGAAGGCGGGTGAGAACTGGTAATGTCACACTCAAAACTTCACCAGAGAGTATTTTTACAGAGCTGTCTCTTTCTCTAGACTAAGAACATTTTGACTGAATGAAAGTCTCTTTGTACTGTCCAACACTGCACACTGCCTACACAGGAGAGCCAGAGCCTAAGGATGCTGTTCCACAGGCAGTTTAAACAGACGTAATTCCTCTTTGCTGCTTAAAAGAGACTGCCTTCCCCTGCACTGATTGCACATTTCCAAGTTCCCTCCCCTTTCTTCTACCAGCAATAGCATGAAAACTAGCACCGGTACAAGGAAGTAACAAGGCAACCCTTTTAGCGGCAGCACTGGCTTAGATCAGTTTGAAAAGCTGGTGAGACCACACCATACTGCTACAATTCTCCTGTGACTAAGATAGCGAAACAAACAGATAACGTAACAGTACTTAAGTATATTTAGAACCTCATTTAAAATGTTTCAGATGAATGCAGTCTTGTTACTTATAATTGTATCTAACTGATATAAAAGTCAAATCTCTCAAAATTCCTTCTCAGACCACAATGTTATACTACCCTAACTGTAATAAGTATTTTGTCTGTTTGAAAAACAATCATATTTCACAACAGCATTGCTGCACATACGTTTTATACATTGTAGCAGAAGTGCTACCTGAGCCTTCATTCAATATTTCCCTAAGAAGGGAAGTTTACAGGTTGAGGTGTACACTGTGAAGGCTAGGCATCAAGATCCCTCAAGATTATAAGAAATCTCAGTTTAAAAGTAAAAATCCCTTGTCTCTGCAGGAGTTCTCATTTTTAGTTCTAGGTAGAGTTTTATAAATTCAAGTTGGTGCACATCTTATTTCATTGTGCAACTGCACTACTGATAGTTCCCAAATCCTAAGTGTGTGTGTCTTCAACACTTTTTAAAATAACTCTAAAAC